ATAAACTGTAATATCAGTTCCTTAGAGATACTACAGTAAGAGGGGAAATATTCAGGGAGATACTTCTAAAAGGGGAGAAATTGAGTGAATAATTTCATGAAACTGCTGAGTTTAGCTGTAAATTACCACAATTCGAACCAAATCTCCTTAATGAACCAATGCCTATGTCAGTTGGCCATTTCCCTTGCATGATGCAGGGTTGGATACTAATTCAGATTGATACAAAGAACCTTCAAAGACGTTATGCTTCTTGAAACTCGAAATACCGTGGCCAGACTACTCTGAACGAAGCAAATAATTCCGATTTGACGATTATATTTGTCATAAAGTCATGAAATGAACATCTAGTAAGGATCAAAAAGAGACAGCTTTCTTACTAATACGAGTTGTAGAGGATAAAGTCATTCCTTGAAATGAGATGTGCCCAAATAAGTCGTGAGCAACTGACTTCTTATACTATGCATGGATTTGGAAGTGCCAGACACTGCTGAAGCCAGTCGCCTTCGTGATGAATGTGAGGCTAGCGGAGTAGGAACAAATGGTCCAATCGCATGGCTACAATGCATCCAGTTTTCTATTTTTCTAGGGCAGCACTTGGTCGTTTCGAACGAATATGGACAGTGGGACACTTCCATTCAAAAATGTCGGGGGCCTATACAGTGACTTGCGATAGCCAGCCAATAGGCAAGCCAGTGCTTCTACCCTCCCAAATCAGTTTGAAACCAATTGATCAATAACAATAATAACCAATTCCAACAATCCAAGATACCAATTAGTTCGGTAACCCCAGGGAATTGGAAGACATGGTTGATCTAGCCCGACATAGAGCCAGGATTCAATCCAAGATCATACGTGTGCGATGGTACGCCCCTTGCCACTAAACCATCCAAGCTCAGATATGATTGTATATCATAATAAATAAGCTTTTAGTATGAATGCTATCAATGCTTTCGAATGGCTTTTCATCAGAAAAAATATTTACTGGTTTTGACGAAATTCCTATCAAGAACCCATTTTATATTTGTTTTGGTTACGGTGTGGTAGGGCCTTATCTGGATTACGGTAGTGCAGTCGACAACTGACGAGGCCCCAAAAACTGATTGTTGAAGATAGGCATCACTCTAACACCCCTGAAATACAACCGGAGCTTATAAAAAGAAGCCAGTTCAACCGTATTCATCGTGACGTTCAGCAATAGAGAACTCGTCCAGCCGCCGATCTTCTTCGCTATGACTTCACACTCCATAACTACCAATAATATTTCATAGGGTGAGCTGGCTTTCCCAAAAATCCCAGCGGATTCTTTTCGCCCACGCTGGCAGCTAAACCATTTAAACCATTGTTCGAGGATCATCCATGCGGTCATTGCCCTAAACCTCTTAAAGGCACCGTTCACGATAAAAAAGGTTATTGAGTTCTTACCTTGTTAATACTCAGCGGCCCCCATGGGTTGTAGAAGGGACCCTCTCACTCGCCCAATCTCGACGTCCAGAGCATAGTGGCAGCTCCGTTGTTGCCGTAGTTCGCATGCTCGCCCTTCGGTCGATGAGAAGAATAGTAGCAGTTCAGCAGAATAATAGCAGGGAGAAATCCGATCAGATGTTTGGGTGTGTTGTCTGCAATTGCAGACATTGGGCCGCCTTCGTGCACTCGCCCGAACACTCCCTAACCGCCGTTCTTTTAATGTGAAACTCGTCCAATCCCCTTTCCAGCTCTTTTTTGACCCTTTGTATTTCTTTTTGTTCATCTTTGCTGCGCTTTTTTCGTTGTTATCGCTTTATTCTAGAGTAGTTCTATCCATTCCCGTCAAGAAAGGGTACCCTAAATTCATCGTGAACGGTGCCTTTAAGCGTCGCTGTGGTGATGAGCTCACGTCCATGGAGATGAATAGAAAACCACTCAAACCATTTACTGAAAATCTCCTCGTAAGTCACTCGCAATATTCCAGTCTTTCAGCGGCAGGTTAGTCAGAGTTCCTTAAAATGAACCCTTCTAACGAATATCTTCAGAAAAATTGGGTTTTGTGTATCCAAAAGGAAAAGTGACCAATACGAATTTTCCCCAGATCTTCAGTCCGTT